AAACGTGGCAGAAAATAGAGCGCCAACATACCTTTAATCGTGCTAGAAATCCGCCATCTTTAAGAAAATATCCAAAATAATGCATTGCGGTCGCAGTGCGCACACCGCCTGGTCACAGAATAGGAAGTTATACCAGAAGCGTAACTCTAGTCGTTTCCCTTATTGTTTGACGTCCACGAAAATTTTAACTCGCTCACGTCAGGCCACGCCATCCTGGCTAGTACAGCCGGAAGTTTTTATCAGGATTTGGTAGGTACAAAGTGCCGGTTGTACTAGCCAGGATGGCGTGATTGATGACGAATCGCTTGTAAAAACGTGTACAAATATTTGCTCGAGTTACGCTTCTGGTATAACTTTCTATTCTGTGGCCTGGTGTCAAGCAAGGTCAAATATTTGTTGTGAAACATCGAAGATTTTAACTTTAATATCGCCATAAAACGTATTTTGAATTAAAAAACTGGACTAGTAAATGTCTAGTCCGAATGAAAAGTCACCGTTGCTTCACTTTGGAGGGAATAATCATAAAATCCAAAATAGCTGCACTTCCTTGAATGATCATAGTTCATCAACTAATAGCACAATGAATGATGTCCAGGTGATTGAGGTGAACGACGAACCTGGACTACCCATACCTAGGGCAGTGTTTGTGGTCACAAATGCTGCCCTAGGTGCAGGTATGTTGGCGTTCCCAGAAGCGTATGAGAAAACTGGAGGCGTGCCACAGGCTTTGGCTGTTCAAGCAGTGAGTTTGTTCACTTGTTTGTTATTGTCTTTTATGTGATCAGACATGAATCTATCATGAGATGTATAAACCTTAATGAAACGAAACTTTAACTTTTATACACTAAAGTTTAATTTGGTTATAGCAATCAACAGCCAATCTGAGAAAGCTTATAAATAGGGATGAGCCGATAAAGAAAATTGCCGATTACTGATGCCGATTATTTGTAAGCTGATTATCGTAACTAATCGGCCGATATTAATCGATACCTGCCGATTATTTTAAAAAGCAAGCGAAAAATCACAAGATGACCAACAATGAAGTTGTAAATGCGGTTTTATTGTTTACAGTACACTATGTACAATTAAAAACAGCTTCAATCTTGCATGTCAATAATCAAAGTTCAGTGGAAATGTTCCCAGCTTCACTTCGCTTGAGACAAAAGACACAGATTTTGCAACAAAATGTGAAAATCTGTTCGCTTGTATTCAGTATTTTAGCATGTGCTTGGCAGCTGCAGAAAAAGTCTTATGGCCGATTATCAGACAATAATCGGCCGATTACCGATTATTTAAAAAACAGCCGATTAATCGGCTTTGCCGATTATTTACCAATTAATCGGCTCATCCCTACTTATAAAATGATTTTAACTTTCTTACAACCGGCCCCTAGCTGGTTTGTGGCGTGCTATGAGTGCGTACCAAACCAATTTCAAATTGGCATGATCAGACATCGAGTGCATTCTGTATTTGTACGTAACAAACCAATCTGAGCAAACCAATTTTCATGCAATTATACTATAATTTGGTTCATTGCTGGCTCTATATGTTTCAAATCTGGTGCGCATGCTTTAATTACCATGCTATGAGCATTCAGCATGCCTTCAATAAGCAAGCCACATGATTAGGACCATAGATTAGGACCAAACATAATTCTGACACAGAGGCTATTTCATTTATACAACATGTTATGATGGAACTAATTAGTTACATAATTGGTTTGGTGAGCTCATAGCACACAGTAGAAACCAGGCCTTTACCATTATCGTTGATTTCAGTTCACTTTTCAAGACGCGGTTGCGAAGTTCGTTCCCAAGTTCCCAATTACGTTTCGAAGTTCGGAAGTTGGGCGGGAACTTCTAAACGAACTTCCGAACTTCGAAATGAACTTCCGAACTTCGATTTGAACTTCCAAACCCGATCGC